GAAAGAAAGAAAGAAAGAAAGAAAGAAAGAAAGAAAGAAAGAAAGAAAGAAAGAAAGAAAGAAAGAAAGAAAGAAAGAAAGAAAGAAACCAGAGTTTTTCGCTGATGTTTGATTTGCAGCAAGTTTGCTTTTGACTTTCATTTTCTATTTAAACATACAAAATTGGGAGCATTAAAAATGAGCTCCCAAATTAGCTTTTTAATAGAAATTGAAAGTTAAAAGGGGGCCGAGTCATGGGGGAAAAGCTATTGAAAATCACAGCCAGGCCACAGCTAGTAGAGAGGGAAGCTAGAGCATGAAGGAATGAGAGAGAGGAGGACAGTTGAGAAGTTTATAAAAAGATGACATTGTAAATCACAACACAATCATTCAAATCAGTAGAAACCTCACTATGTTTAGTCTCCAACTTTCTGCTATGCACCTGCTGGTGGACAAAGACGCAGACAAACAGAAACATTTTAAGAGGATATTTTTGATGTCATTTAATAAGGACAGATCCAGGACATTTCTCTGTGCTGAAATGTCTTTAGCTGTTGATGACACTTGGTTTCTGGTCCTAGGTCTTATGTTTCATATTACATGCATCTATTAATATCGCCCTAAAACAACTCCTTTGGTGTCTGGATTCTAAACTTACTGATATGCATCCTCTGTGTAACCTTGTCAGCTACCTTGCAAATATTTCATTGTGATTTTTTCAGGGTATAAGCTCACTGCTGCAGATGACACTGTGAGAATAGTTACTGTCAGGTATTCCTGATCTGGCGCTTTAACAGAGGTTTCTATTGTTGTGAATCACCAGGTACTAGACACTGCCAGGATAGGGGAGTGGAGGGGCCAATGTTGCAGTATGAGGAATCCAGTGCTCCTGGCCTAAATTTTCAAAAGTGATTTGGGTGTCCAACTTGAAGCAACTTAAAGTGGACTTTCAAGCACCCACCCTTTGGAAGTAATGGGCCCCCTTTCAGGTTTCTCAAAATTAACATTAAAAAAATAGAGGCCCCTCTGTACACTAGTTTCTGCTAAATTCCTTGTTTTTTCCTCCTCAGTTCAAGACATTAGTGGCTCATACAATTCTTCGGTTTGCTCTTTCCGTTTGTCTTTGCTAGAAGTTATAAAACCCGGCAAGTAGTTTTGTTTTACCAGGCTGTTCCGGGGCCAGTCTGAACTCGGTGTGGACTGTGGGAAAGCTGGGTTCTGTTCGCTCTATTCAGGGCCCTGTGCCATGTCCATCACTCTGGTGCCTGATGAAATCGCCCCCTGCACTGACCCTGCGGAGTGGAGGGAAGGGAAACCGGGCCTTTGCTAGCCGTTTGCTATGGCAGCCCGGCGGGAGCGGCCACGACCATGGCTGCAGTTGGGGGGACTGTCGAGGAAAGCGGGGTGGGGGGCAGACCTGGCATGTTGCCCACACCCACTGGGCTCTAGCTGGTGACCCCTGCGGGGGAGACGCGGGTCCTTGACACTCTCCCCAAACCCCACTGGTGCCGGCTCTGCAGACGGGGCGCCCGGCTCAGCTCACCCCACTACCGCAGCAGTTAGGGGCTCACACCCTGGCGGGACCCCCAAACCGGGGCTAATCCGGAGGCCGAACGTGAGGGGCAGCCCCGGAGCTGTCCGCCGCGGCGTGGTGCTGAACGCGGCCGGCCCCGCGCTCGCCTCTCCGCCGGGCTGGCGAGGCTGGGGGGACGGCGCCACCTGCCTGCGGAGCGGCGCCGCCGCGGTGAGCCCGGGCGGCGGAGGGGAGACACCCGAGCATCCTCTGGCTGCCCGAGCCCGGGGGCTGCAGCCGCGCCTGCCCGAGCCCCTGCGCCCCCCGCCCGGCTGGGCTAGGGCGCCCACCCCCGGGGCGCACACGCCGCCCGCTGCCCCATGCCTGCAGCGGCTGGATGGCCGCGGTAGCGCCCTGCACCCGACCGAGGGGGAGAGTCCGTCCGCGCAGGGCAGGGCAGGGCACCACGGCTCCTGCCCAGGGAAGGCCAGGTCAGGCGGGGAGGGGCAGGCCTGCCCTCTCCGCCGGGAGGGGACAGCACTTCCCAGCCCGCCCCCCGCGGTCCCCGAAAGGTGGAGACAAGATGCTGGGGAATCAAGTGCCGCTAGAGCGAGAGTCTTCGGGCCGCCCGCTTCCTGTCCGGGCACTCCCGGGCTGCTGGCGCTGATGGGGGCTGTTGGAAGCTGCGGCAACTGAACTCCTGCCTCCTGGCTTAAGTACACTCGGCGGCTCCGGGGGAGATGACGCACCATGGCACGGCCGCCGGGCCCCTCTCTTTCATGTAGGTATTGGCCCCGCTTTGGGGACGGACCCTAACTCTGCTGTGGAGCATCACCCACCCGCTGCAGCTGCCCTACTGGCAAGGCAAGATCGGGTGTTTCCATTGATAAAGGGGGACGGGGAGCTTCCAAGAAAGATTTGGCCCCTCTCCCCCCACCTTCCTGAGAGAGGCGATGGAGAAGAGAGTTTATTTTTTGTTCCGAAGAGACCCCTGCGCGGCGGGGAGGGGGACAGGCTGATCTGGTAACAAACTGGAAAAGCTCTAACAGGTAACGCTAAAGTTCCTCCACATACATACCCCTCCTCCCTCCTGTGCTGGGCCCATTAGCATGCAGTGTCAGGACTGGTGTGTATTTAATGACTCCATTTGCTGGTGTGTCTCTGGTAGCTCACACCGCCTCTCGCCAGCATCTTGTTTTACAGCCGGCTTCTCTGGGTCTCAGAGAGAGGGAGGGGGGACTCCAGGCTCAGTCCATGATCCCTGCTCCATCTAAGAGAGCGGATTCTTCAGCAACTGGGTACCATTTCCAGCTTGACCAGGCAGCAAGAGTAAAGCTGGATTTGAAGGACATGCCAAAAAAAAAGACCTCCCTCCCCCAAATAAGCAAGCTTAGGGGGGAGGAAGGAAGACAGAGACTCACTCAACCTCAGCAATAACAAGGGAGACGCTGTTTAGTCATTTCTATCTACTTCCCCAGGGCTGATTATACTTTCTGATTACTCCTGACTGCATTTAGAAAGATTTGAGAGGCAGACAGCACAATTCACTCGTTATCCTGAGGATTGGTTTCCCAACGGTTCCTAGATCAGTCCCTGCATTTTGGGGATGAGAGTTTCTTTCCTTGCAAGGTAAGGCATTGCTGTGAGCCAGCAAGATGGGGCTTTTCCTGGCGTCGGGGGTGGAAGGGTAGAAGTTTCCACGCGTTTATTCTAAGCCTGTTGCTGTGGCTTTCCATGCTTTTGCTGTAAATCTCTCGCTGACTGATCCGTTGCAAACATGAGCGGGTAGTTTTATTGTTTGATGGGTGGGAGGGGAGTATAAAGAGGATGCTGAAGCTTTGAGTGGCATATTTTGCCTTTTAAATGAAAAGATCTTTGCTGCTTGAGCCTAGCCCCCATAAAGGATAAAAAAACGGGGAAAGACACAGTATGCCGAGGGTTATTTCTCTTGTCTCTGCTCCAGTTATCCGTGTCTCATCGTGAAACTCATAGCTTCTCATTTTGTTAAAGTTATCCAGATCTGCTTCTGTCATTGAAAACACCATGAGCGTATGCAGTTTTTTAACACAAGAATATCCAGGGGCATCTCTTAAGATTGACATTGCTAGCAGCAGTTAATAAGATAAACCATTGGTTATTCCTCTCCCCCCCCCCCCAACCTTTGGGTGAGAAGACAAACTTGTTCTACAACATTCTCCTCCAATGCACTACTGATCCTAGTTTTTGTGTTTTGAAATTGGAATAAAATCATCCAGTAGAGATAGATCAGCAAGGTGACATGCTCAGGGAAAAGGTCATTTTAGAAAATAAGAGGCTTGACTTGTAGTTTTAGTTATCCAGTTTGGGTGGTAGGTTAGTTACTTTGTTTTCCCTAAGTCTAGGTGCTTCCATAATGTTGATATTAGGTTAAGTCAAAAGAGCCAAATCCTTTTATCTTATACACAAGCTTTTCTAACTGCCACCACTAACCTTTACTAACTAGTTTCTTTCAAATTATACATGAAAATTAGCTACAGCAGAACTGAAATACATATAAACATGTATGTGATGTGTGTTCACTTATATACAATGTATGTCAGTATGTATATAGAATACAGATGCTTATATATTTGTTTCTTTTACTTTAAAAAATAGTGTGGCTTGTGCAAAATATTTCCACCAGCCCCTTGCTTGCTATTATAAGAACTCAAGTATTTCCATTAGAACCTCAGGAAATTTGCAGCAAGATGAAGGTGCTAACAAATCTGATGTTTTATATCTTATCACTATGGACTTAGTGTGCATAGTTCACAACCTCTCTCTCCTTTACTCACTGATGGTATTGTTGATTGAAAATCTGACAAAAAGAAACCATTCCTCAGCGATGAAGCTACTTCACCTTCCGCTGATTTCTCACATCACCTCCTTTACATAAACACACTCAAAAATTGGCCACAAAACAACTTTTGTTTTTGAATCTTTAAAAAGGACTCCATCACTTTGTTTATCTAGGATAAGAAACAGAGCTACTTTGCTACTGACATAATAAAAAGTGAAAAGTAAACCCTGAGCACATACATTAGGAACTTTTAAGTCCATCTGCTGAAGAGGCCCCTGAGATACAGTAATTGAGTAATCAACCTTTATGGACAGATACTCAGCCACCTCGTGTGTTTTAATTTCTTGGCCATTTCAGATAGTGGCAGTTTAAAATTTCTCCATATACACGGCCAGCCTGGAAGGACTTTAAAAAAAAATAAAACAAAGGTTTTAACTCATTAATGGCTTACAAATGTTATCAGTGTTGTCTTAACTATTTAAGCACTTATAGTACCTTTGGCTGCAAGTGAGGTGAGCTGGCACTCACACCTAGGGGTGGGTGTGAAGTTTGTAAGGAGGTGCCCCATTGGACTTGAGAGAAACTCAGGATCCCAAACAGTGTTATTGCAAAAATCCAGGGATGTTCCATACATTTTCAGCAGGATGACCTCACTGTCAATAAGACCTTTTCTAGGTAAAAATACATAGAAGGGGTCTGTATTGCTTAGGGAATAGGTAAGGGGATATGTAGTCTAAATCTCCTGGTTACTTACCCACCATTTAACCCAGCTGGATAATGAGTGAAGTTGTTACCATCCCATGGCATTGTACTAGCTTAGAAAGGCTTTGGTAGCCTGGGTGGCCTCTCTTTAGTTTTAGTTTCCCCATCACAAAATCCACCATTGCCATCAATAGAAAGTGACAGCGTTGGTGGATGGGTCCAGCTAGCCCTTAGAGGTTGTCTCTTCAGTTGGGGATTGAGGCACATTTTTGAAGCAATGTGGATGAAGTTTATGCTGTTGTGCTGTGCCTGTTCTGGGGATGAACAAAGGACTCCAGTCCCCAAAGGTATCCATGTCACCTTTCTACAGAACTAATTCACTTTTTAGAATAAGGGAGCAAAAGAATGCATTGTAATGCTGAACGAACCCTGCATAATAAAATAATGTGGGATAGGGGTTCTCGTGCCTCTACTGTACCGACAGCATCCTTCTAGGAGCAGCATCACTACGGTTTATTCTACACTTCCTAAACTTCTTATGGCACGAGTAAGATTCTTGCCCCAGGGATTTCAATTGTCGTTTAGAAACAAAATTGTACAGCAAGATGGTTTGTATTAAAATGAAGCATGTTAATGCTTACTACACAAGAAAAGCATCTTCTGTGAGCAGTTTAGTCAGAATCAACCTGTGGTGAAACCACTACTATTTTTCATTCAGTATTTTGATGACCTGTTGAGATCAATAATGCCACAGCCCCAGTAACTGGAATGGAACTATTCATAGAATTAAGATACTTTGTAGTAGAATTACAGAGAATAATACTATTTGCCCTAAGGAAGCTTCCAGGGCATGCCCCAGTGGCCACTGAAGTCAATGGGGGTCTTTCCGTTGACTTAACAGACTTTGGGTAGGTCCCCTAGTACTGCTTCTATGATGTGACATCTTTCACCAAATAGTTGTATGGTAGTGTTATAAACATTAAGAAAGTGAAAGCATAGACAAATGACAAAAAAGGTTAAATAAAGCAAGAGGCCTGACTATAGAAAGGAACAAGAAAATTCAGGGCTGGGCTAGATTCTAAACTGTTATAAATCAGTGTAATTGCATTGACTTCAATAGAGCTATGCCAATTTACACCAGCAGAGGATCTGAGTTTGGGATATTTTTCCTCCATTAGATGGGCCTCTAATAATGGCATTATAGTGAATGCACTCCACCCTTTGGTTAAAAGACTTTTGCCTTTGTTAGACAGTCAAGGTAACATTCTGGTAAAAGAAAGATGACAAGGTTTTGTTTGGATGCTTCATCCAGTTTGCCCTTCTCTTCTTTGATCCGACACAGTTAATAGTTTAACCCTCAGTGGGCTCCTTTTCACACACCCCACCACAGACACCTCTGAAGCTCAGACATCCTGAACAATGTTCCCCTGGCCCATGCCCAGTAGAGTTTGAATTTTCCTCTTGCTCATTGGAGTAGTGCAATATTTCAGTACCGTAAAACCTGTCTCAAGCAACCACTCATGGGACATCAAACCATCTGTAGCCTACCAGAGGTTTCTAACTAAGGTTGAACAAAATTGTACTGCAAACCATGGAAGATTGTAATTTGTTTTTTGAGATGAGGGTGGGTTACCAATGGGCATAGTCCTTAGTGCAAGTTTCACTGTAGTTGGAGGGTTGTTTATTGCTTAACAGAAGTCCAACTTGATCTATTTAGGGTTTTTAGTACTAAGTAATCCCACTGGGTGAACTCCCAGCATTTTTCATCAGAGTTCCCAATTCTTTTTTGACAGCTGTGATGAACATATGATTACACCTGTGGAATCATGAATTAGTCTTGTTTGTAAGGAAGTTAAATTAGCATGTTTATGCTACTTTTAAAGAGGAATCATTTGCTAGTCAAAATTTCAATCTATAATAATGTCATAACCTTCCCACATGGATCATGTGCATCTTTTAATGATTATTCTCCTAAATGGAAGGCTAAAACAGCTTAGTTTCTCAGTTGTCAAAGCTCCTATGTGCTTATCCAGTTTGTTTTAATATTGTCTTTTAGAAACAAATAATGAGGCAAAGCATCCCCCATTGACTGTGTTTATATTATATTTTTAGATGGAACTGATCTGACTCCAGACTCCTTTTAGAAGCAGAAGAACGGTCTTCTCCCACATTGAGGCCTGAAGCCATCATGGCGGCAGGCGTAGCAGCATGGTTGCCCTTTGCCAGGGCAGCTGCCATAGGATGGATGCCAGTGGCCAACTGCCCTATGCCATTGGCCCCAACTGAGAAAAACAAGAGGCAGGATGAGCTGATCATTCTGAATGTGAGTGGGAGGCGCTTCCAGACCTGGAGGACTACACTGGAGAGGTACCCGGACACGCTCCTGGGCAGCACGGAAAAGGAGTTCTTCTTCAATGAAGACACCAAGGAATACTTTTTTGACCGGGACCCTGAAGTCTTTAGGTGCATTTTAAACTTTTACAGAACTGGCAAGCTGCATTACCCAAGGTATGAGTGCATCTCTGCCTATGACGAGGAGCTTGCCTTCTATGGGATCCTACCTGAAATCATTGGGGACTGCTGCTATGAAGAGTACAAAGACAGGAAGCGGGAAAACGCTGAGCGGCTGATGGATGACAATGACTCAGAGAACAACCAAGAAGGATCCATGCCGTCTTTGAACCTCCGGCAGACCATGTGGCGAGCCTTTGAAAACCCCCACACCAGCACCTTAGCCTTAGTGTTCTACTACGTCACTGGCTTCTTTATTGCGGTCTCAGTGATCACTAACGTGGTGGAAACTGTTCCATGTGGCACAGTGCCTGGGAACAAGGAGCTTCCATGTGGGGAGAGGTACGCCGTGGCTTTCTTCTGCTTGGACACAGCTTGCGTTATGATTTTCACTGTCGAGTACCTTATGAGGCTCTTTGCAGCCCCGAGTCGCTACAGGTTCATGAGGAGTGTCATGAGCATCATTGATGTGGTGGCCATCATGCCCTATTACATTGGCTTGGTGATGACCAACAATGAGGACGTCAGCGGAGCCTTTGTAACACTAAGGGTTTTCAGGGTTTTCAGGATTTTCAAGTTCTCACGCCATTCCCAAGGCTTAAGAATCCTGGGCTACACGCTGAAGAGCTGTGCCTCGGAGCTTGGCTTTCTTCTCTTTTCCCTCACTATGGCAATCATCATCTTTGCTACTGTGATGTTTTATGCAGAGAAAGGGTCTTCAGCCAGCAAATTCACCAGCATACCAGCTTCCTTTTGGTACACTATTGTAACCATGACAACCCTTGGGTAAGTGTTGCATTTTCTTGTGTCAGTCAATAGGCAAACTCACAGTGGCTGCTGGAGTTTGGTTACTTTGTGAGGTTAAGTATTGGTTTATTTGGTATTTGTTCCAGAGGCTTGGGGGGGCTATTATGGGCCTGATTCTCCTCTCCCAGGTATAGCCTGTCTGCATTTAGACCTGTGCAAAGTGGTTGCAAAACATCACGAGCACTTATACCCACCTTGCAAATACTTTGCACAGGTACAAAGTAGGGTACAAGAAGCAAGGCTGTGGAGAATCAGGCCCCGATGTTATGGTCTGGTAGTTTTTCACAACTACTCTGCATTCTCTCTGCAGAAGTGTATGTAATAACACAAGGTGCAAAGCAGTTGAGAACTAGGACCTATATTTTTTATTCAGACACACATTTGACCAACCTGAAGGTTTACACAAAACCCTTGGGATTTATTTTGTCTTTTTACAAAAGTAAGATTTACTATAATGTATCTGACTGCTTGCAAATGGGCATTACAGGTTTGCTAACTCAAGCAGGCATTACAGATAATCGCCTTACTGAAGGTATTCAGTGATCTACAGGACATGGTTTGTTAACTGAACAGGAAATGGCCCTCTTTGCTGTGTCTACTTGTGAGTTTAATAATCATAAAAATAATGCTGTAGCAGTTGCAATATTTGAAGAGATCATACAGACAGGTGCCAATGTGATATGACAAGCATGGGAAATATAGCCTGGAGGACTCTTGCTCATATTTAATTTCTCTCCTGTTGATATTACAGCTATTTCTGCTAAGGTTATAGATTTGTGTTTCTGGTGCTCAGAACGGAAACCTTCATAAAGGGAGATGAAGAATAGCCAAATCCTCTGACAGGATTATACCAAATAAAGGAAGCTTTTAGAGGTTGCTGCTTCCAGGGGCTAAAGTTGCATACACTAAAGCAATCTTTTCATAATTCACACTCATATGCTGAGTTTACATGTACTTAGGGAGATGTTTCCTACTGGAAAATTCAGAGTTTTTAATATTTGGCCTTAGAGAATTCTCTTTTATAGTCTGGTGACCAGCTGTCCCACTGAACTGCTTTTGCATTTAAACACTTCCCTATGCCTATTAAGTACAAACAAAACCAATAACACTTTAAAATTATTATAATTCAGCTGTCAGGAAAGCGCATAGCATGAAGCAATTGTAAACTCTGGATTTTTTTTTTTTTTGCAAACTAAATGTAAAACATATCTGCAAACAGAATGATGCCAGAGGAACCAAAGTAGACTTTTCCCCCTTCTTGAGCATCACTGTAGTCTATCGGTACCTTTACACTGCACTCCCGGGGAGCGACTGCAGCTCACGGAGATGTACTTGAGCTGGCTCTAATCTCCTTACCTCAGGTACTGGAGCAGTGAAGCCAGGGCAGCCTGAGTTCCACTGAGGGCTATACAAGTCCACCCTGAAAAAAAAGAAAAAAAAATGGAGATATCTCATCTCCTAGAACTGGAAGGGACCTTGAAAGGTCATTGAGTCCAGCCCCCTGCCTTCACTAGCAGGACCAAGTACTGCTTTTGCCCCAGATCCCCAAGTGGCCCTCTCAAGGACTGAACTCACAACCCCAGGTTTAGCAGGCCAATGCTCAAACCACTGAGCTATCCCTCCCCCCTGAACTCCAAGTAATTGCTCATATAGCCAGCCCATGGTGATGCCTGTGCGGCTGTATCTTCACAGCTCTTCATAATCAACCAAGGGTAAAGCTAGCTGGGGTATGTCTACACAAGCTGCAGTTATACCCGTCAGGCCAAATTTCAAACTTGGCTGACAAAAGTTAGGCTCGTCAATCCATTCTTAAGCATCTAAATAAAAGTGGCCTTATTTTCAAAGATTCTGAGCATCTTTCCCCTATTGATTTCAATGGATAAGATGACCATTTAAGCTCCTACAACTATACTTAGGTATATAACTTTCAGCTCCCCATTTTGAAATGATGGCCCTTTATATTCTACTCTATAGAATTTCTTATACTGTGCTTTTCACCATAGTATCTTTCTGAGTGCCTTCCAGTTGTGCATTAAACAAGATGACTAATATCAGTCATGTATTTCTTCTCTCATCCTGTTCCTCTGAGAATTGGGTGCAGTGGGGTGTTTTGTTTGGGAATTTTAAAAATTACACAGACACACATGTATCTGTTACATGTACTCTGCATTTCTTTGCCTTTGCCTTCCCTAACACAAACTACTTTATGACAAAATGTACATAAGGCTTTATAGTACAATTAGTTTTGTTCATCTGAATGAAATGGCCTCTTGCATGTAGCACCTTTTCTTTCTGCATATAATGATAGTCAAAACAGACTTTCTGAATACTTTCAAGTGTTCTCAGTCTACAGTAATCATAGAAATTATAGCTGAATGAGTGCTTTAAACTGGCTGACAAGAATAAAAAAATTACAGAGAATTGAAATGGGACTTTGTAAGTTTTAGCGGGAAAGATCTATTTAAGCAACGGCAGCGGTGTGTAAAATATTACCAAAGAGATAAAGCCTAAACCTCTAGTATTGTTTTTTGTGTAGATTTGAATTGAAATAGTGTGTGATAGCACAAACTATTAGCTAGATTACTGTGATATAGTTTTTAAAGTGTTGTGTCATATCTCATGAGATCAAAACACTGGATGACATCTTGAGGGCAGAAACCTGTGCTCTCACCCCATCTATCATCATCTTGTTTATAACATGACTTAATGGTATCTAAGACCCAACAACCTTTGTTGCTCTACAAAATTGCTTACTTGAGTCTTGTGCTAGAGAGAAAGGAGTCATTACTCTGTGTAGCTCAAAGAGCAACTTTCACCCAAGACGTGCTCTGCAGAACTTCTGGACCAGCTTCAGAAAGGCACCTTTGGAGCTCATTTGGGGGAGCAGGTCTTTAGGGCACCGTTCAAGTCTCAGCTGTGGTGACTTGCAAGATGCATACACAGCAAGACCTGGAATGAGACAAGGCCCCTTGGACATGTCAGCTCCACTTTCTGGCCAGTGGATGGCAGGCACAACCATTGCAACACATCAGTGAATGTTATTTCATGCACACACAAAGTGAGGTTAGAGATGAAGCCATGGGTTTCAGCTCATTTCTACCTTCCACACTGAAACTTTGACTGAGATTATCCATCACAGCTCCCCCTTCTCTGATAAAAGCAGAAGGGAGCTCCTGCTCCTCTCCGTTGCCTGGGGTACAATGCGGCCCCACCGTGCGGACGGTGCCCCCTTGTCTTTGGTTTCTGTAGTGAGGGGGCCTCCTTAAGTTTCAGTCTACTTTAACCACTGGAAACAGAGTCATAGTGTCATGTTCTGCTGGCACTTCATAATGTGAACCTCGGATTGCTACTAATTTTGACATAATGTTGTCTAGTTATACAACGCTCCCTTGCAGAAAAAGCCACCAACTTCTCAGTTTAGGTACCTAACTTGGGGTCCCAAATTCCATTCAGCACCCATGTATGCAAATCTTACCCACATTTTCTAGTTTGCTGCTATGCACCCAAATGAGGCTGGGACAGAACTGCCTTAGTTTATTTTGCTATAGTAATACTGGGTTGTGTTTTTTGGGGGGAGATAGGATAACCCAGTTTTAAGCTATGAGATAAATGCTATTAAGATTGAATGATGTTGATAATGCACATCCATACAGTTTGCAGGCTGTTCTAAGTTGCCTCTGGCTACTAGACCCATTCCAATAGCCGTGTATTGTAGAGGTGTGGGGTGCCCTAGCCATGTCCCCCCATTGTCCATACTCTCTATTCCACTTGAGAATCCATCTATATTGAGGTGTACATCTGGAAGATTTAAGACCGCTCGTATAGGCAACTTTCTGCCTCTCCCCCTAAGACACCTAAAGATGAGAGACATGGATTCTTGGTTTGAGTTCCTGAAGTTAAAAAATGATTAGGCTATTTAGACACAACATCATCATAAGAACCACCATACTGGGTCAGACCAATGGTCCGTCTAGCCCAGTATCCTGTCGTCTGACAGTGGCCAGTGCCAGGTGCTTCAGAGGGAATGAACAGAACAGGTCATCAAGTGACCCACCCTCTGTTGCCCATTCCCAGCTTTGGCAAACAGAAGCTAGGGACACCACCCCTGCCCATCCTGTCTAATGGCCATTGATTTTTAAGGCATTGTAGGGAGGGACCTGGAGAAATTGCTTCTTTGTTCTTGTTTTCTATTTACAATTTATTTTTTGATTTCTTGCCTCAGACTCCATTACCGCAGCTGAACCATGCAAAGCCTCCGAGGATTTCTCTTTCCCAGGTGCACTGAAGTTAGGAGTCATTTGGCTCTGTTGGGAATGAACTTGTTACTAATTAGTGTATTTGCAATTCCCTACCTGACTGATGTCGCCAAAAATCCCCGTCAAAATATCTATGTGTGGCATATGCCAGCATTTTGCCCACATAAGGGATGTGCCAGTTAGCTGCTTGCCTCTGAACAGCGCTCAGAGCTTTTATAAAGCATTTTATAATTATTTGCTCAGTTGCATTTAAAATTCTAATTAGCATTTGAAATAGGTTTTGACCAGAAGAAATCATGTGTTTAAAAAAAAGAATTAGCAAAGAAAAATCTCTTTTGCCCATTTAATCCAGGTAATTGAGTAATTTCGCAATCTTGGAAACTCATTGTTAACAGATTGGTTTATAAACTGAATTTAGAATGCGCAAGAACTTCTCATGTTAGTAAAACATTCAACTATAAGCTCACTTTAGATGAATAGGAAGGTTTATTTAAAAAACAAACCCACCAAGCCAGGCTTTGAAAAGCATTAACATATGTTCTAGTTGACTAGCATAAATACTACTGAAGAAAGCTAGATCAACTGATGTAAGTCAAAGTAGTTCCATGGAAGCCAAAGTCACACCACTTCACACCTGCTAGGACCTTGCACCTCCTTTTATCCCTTGGTAATGAATAGCGGTAGTCCAGTTTTTTGTTTTGAAAGAAACATCCTTCCCCCACC